AAAAGACCACCCCTAGCTGTTGGGGAAGTCCTTCAAAAATTCCATGCACTCTGCTCACATCTCTCGCCTCCGCTGAGAGAAGCGTCAGAAGCAGCACTAAGCCTGACGGGCAGAAGATACCCCAAAGGACATGCCAACAAACCATCGAAGGGACAAGTCAAAATATGATGTTGCGGAAAAGGACATGGGATAATCTGTTTTCGGCCCCTGGTTCGTGTGTGTGTGTGTGTGTGTGCGTGTGTGTGCGGGTGTGTGCGGGTGTGTGCGGGTGTGTGCGGGTGTGTGCGTGTGTGTGTGTGTGTGTGTGTGTGTGTGTGTGTGTGTGTGTGTGTGTGTGTGTGTGTGTGTGTGTGTGTGTGTGTGTGTGTGTGTGTGTGTGTGTGTGTGTGTGTGTGTGTGTGTGTGTGTGTGTGTGGGGGTGCGTGCGTGCGTGCGTGCGTGCGTGCGTGCGTGCGTGCGTGCGTGCGTGCGTGCGTGCGTGCGTGCGTGCGTGCGTGCGTGCGTGCGTGCGTGCGTGCGTGCGTGCGTGCGTGCGTGCGTGCGTGCGTGCGTGCGTGCGTGCGTGCGTGCGTGCGTGCGTGCGTGCGTGCGTGCGTGCGTGCGTGCGTGCGTGCGTGCGTGCGTGCGTGCGTGCGTGCGTGCGTGCGTGCGTGCGTGCGTGCGTGCGTGCGTGCGTGCGTGCGTGCGTGCGTGCGTGCGTGCGTGCGTGCGTGCGTGCGTGCGTGCGTGCGTGCGTGCGTGCGTGCGTGCGTGCGTGCGTGCGTGCGTGCGTGCGTGCGTGCGCGTGCGTGCGTGCGTGCGTGCGTGCGTGCGTGCGTGCGTGCGTGCGTGCGTGCGTGCGTGCGTGCGTGCGTGCGTGCGTGGGTGGGTGGGTGGGTGGGTGGGGGTGGGTGGGTGGGTGGGTGGGTGGGTGGTGGGTGGGTGGGTGGGTGGGTGGGTGGGTGGGTGGGTGGGTGGGTGGGTGGGTGGGTGGGTGGGTGGGTGCGCGCGTGCGTGCGTGCGTGCGTGCGTGCGTGGGTGGGTGGGTGGGTGGGTGGGTGGGTGCGTGGGTGCGTGCGTGCGTGCGTGCGTGGGTGGGTGGGTGGGTGGGTGTGTGTGTGTGTGTTTGTTGTGAGTTATCTAAGTGTGTCCCTCGAAAAGAAGAAGAGCAACACTCCGCTAGTTTGCAATGTTCTTGAGACGCGTACTCCAAGTTTAGATTCGGGATGTATTGAAAAGCAAGCTGGTTATAGAAACCCAGGGCCCAGGACAGCCACGATTGGATGTGCTTTTGTGTGCGTGCGCGTGCTGGGGTCTCTTTGGATGGTACAAGCATTCCTTGATGTCAGGTCATCCCGGCCAGCAGAAACAGCCCTCTTTCGCAGCTCCGTCGGGCAAGTCACGTCAAGTTTATGGCAGTGCAGCTAAACAGCTCCAGCCAGCACCCTCCAAGGGTGGTGTGTTTGTACCTGAAGCGCCCTTGTGTGAGCCATTTTGGGTTCCCATTGACAACCCTTGGAGGGTGCTGGAGTATGAGTTGTGCCAACATGATGCTAGCTCTCTTGTGCTGGTCTTGCGCCATGCTGTGTTTGTTTAGCCCGTGTCCATAACCTTTGAACGAGTACGCTGGCAACTGCAGACGCGGCCCTACACATGTTTCTGTCTGAAACAGCCAGAGTTTCAACAGTTAAAACTTGGATTGTTGGCAACGGCCCTCACTAGACGGGGAAAAACACAACAAACAACACGAGTACTTGAGCACGTATCATTTAGGCACAACTCAGTGAATCAGTCGTTTCTGTTGAGTGGGATGCCGATCCGCATGACTACTTGGTCTTTTTACATCGGTACAAATGCCCATGTTGCAAATATAGATAAAAAGGACAATCATACCTGGGAATGTGGCTGGAAGTTGGTCGTTCGCTTGCGTATTTGGGCTTGGCTCAAAATGGGGTGACTCCCAAAATGGGCTTGCCCCCTGAAACAAAGACACTATCATGCACTGGATCGCTGCGAGCAACTTCGCATGCCGAAACCACTCAAACCACGGCCAACCCACCACGGAAGTCCAAACTCGTAAGCCTGCGGGTGTGTCTGTTTTAGACACCCCCCCCCTCCCGGCAAAATGGCATCGGTTTCCTCTCCCTTCAAAACCAAAAAGCCGTAGCCTCAAGCTCAAATGAGCCGCAAGTTCTACGGGATCCTTCGGTGTCGTCCCAAGCATAGGCGTCCTTTTAAGGCAAATAGATGGCCCTGGTAGATGATTACACCACCAGGTAAACCAGGAATCGCAATCTATTTTGCTACCAAAACAATCAAAAAAGGACACCTATGGTCCCAACCCTCCCACCTCCCCGACCGAGTCGTCTCTCGCTGGTTGGCGCCTCCGGTGGCGCTGCTGAGCACCGCGCCCAGCACCAGCCGCCCGTGGAAGGCGCTCTCCAGAGACATCGAGTGACCGAGGGCTCAGCCGAGGGCGCGGGGAGGGGGGTGGAGGGTCTGTAGCGCATGGGGCGGGCAAGGGGGGGGGTGGGAGGGGGTGGAAAGGGAGGAGGGAAGTAGGCGGGGTGGAAAGGGGGTGGACAGGGGGTGGAAAGGAGGAGGAAAGGAGGAGGGATGTAGACCGTAGTGAACCGAAGGGAGTGGAAAGGAGGAAGTTGGCGGGTGTAAGGTTGTGGCTCCAGGTTGGGGTGGGCTCAGTTGCGCAAATAGACCCATAAACAAAAGGTTCACCTCTTGGAGCCATGACTAGTCATAGTCCAAAACGGGATAACCACAAGGTTCAAAGGTCGATTCGCTTTGGGCAAGTGAGAGAACATATGGCCATGGGGCAAAATCCTGTACCCCCAGTGAACATCCCAATCCCCACTAAACTAGGTTCTAAAATGGGTGGTGAATCCACCTACCGCAAAAAGGTACCCAAACGGTTTTGACCCACAGCCATAGTGGTCGATCTGAAGGGAGTCCTTGGTTGATTTCAAAGGAACACCCACCCCCAAGCTCCGAGCCGATAGCAAGCGGCATGGGAGTGGGAAGGAGGGGGGGGGTTGTAGCGTCGGAAGGGCTGTCAAACACGTCAAGCCAAGCAGTCAAAGAGTTCTCCTGGTTTTTTCTTAGTGCTTCTCAAGAACAAAATGTTAACCCTATGCCACAAGTACAACCATCCCAAAAGTAACGAGGGAACCTCACATAGTATCGTATGTCCTTTGGAGTCGGAAACTGGGTTGGGGAATAATCAAGCGGAAACCAATCATTTTCAGGGTCCCGTGTTCTTAAGACCAGGCCATACAGTTGGTCCAAGAGCCAACGTTTCAAAAACAGGAGCCATGTTGTGATGGCTAAACACGAAATCAATGATTGCAGCGAAATCCAATACAAAGGTCCACCATCAGCCCTACCACAAACAATTGGCTGCCAAAAAAGCACAGGCATGAAACAAACGTCGGAGCGGTTTTGCAGCTGATGTTTCAGCAGGTCAACCAATCAAGGCCTCGGCATTTTCCTGTGGGCAGGACTGGACTGACTAACAAAGCTTCAGATTTAGAAGATTCGACCTTTACAAGGCATTGATCCCGAGAAAAATCGCGGGGACTGTCCCCTGCTGAAAATCCCCATGAGCGCAAGGAAAATCACACTGAAACCTGCTTAGAGAGGGTTTGTTGTCCATCTCTCTTCCAGTAATGCGGCTTGCTCAGACTCGCTCACAATCATGTCTGACTCCATGACGGTATCTCGCGCCAAGTGGCTCCGTGCACACGTCGCAAGTTTTCAGTTTTCTGCAAGCTGAGATGCGCATGCGTAGCTTTTTCCCCCACACAAGCGCGAGGATACACCTGCGAAATCAAATGCTGGGCACTGTGCACACCGCGAGGGCGAGCAAACACGCCTCAGCATCCGGCCCTCAAGGCTCGAGTGCGGCAAAGCGCAGACTTTCCTTGGTGATTGGGGTTGGTCTTCGTATATCTAGGTCCTCCAGTAGAGAGGTTAGAATAAGGGTACCCTTTTTTCTGTAGTCTATTTTAGTAGGGGAACCCTCCCCCAAGCAAGAGCACTACTGGGGGGCCTAGTACATGACACCTTTCCTTGTTCAAAAACGGCCAATCGCAGAGACGTATTCTGCTTTTGGGCCGACAGCAAGCCTCCAAGGCCGGCATCGCTTTCCGCATGCTGAAGCTCATTGCGTGCAAGTCCGATTCCAAGATTTCAGGGGCTTCGGCCAACATGTCCTCCACACAGAAAACCCCAGGTTGCGAGGGCAAATGCCCTCAGCCTGACATCCTTCTGGACCCGAATCAGGTGCATTTGGCGGCTACAAAAACAATGTCAGCCTGTTGACCACACTTCAATATTCCAAGGGATACACATCACAGGGCAGCAAATTCGCTGCCATACGCTCTTTATACAACTGGATGTGTTCATGTTGCAAAAATGTAGGTGTGCTTCTGTCAGGGTACACTTGTTGTGTTGGTTTAAAACAAAAGCCACATTCCAAGCAGATTGTTTTGTCATTCCTCCAAGTTTGACACATACCCATGTAAAGCTGAGCACAGCAAGAGCATCCCATCTCGGAAACCACTCGCCTGACTCCTGGTCACAAAAACAAGTCCCTGAAGCCCAAGAGGCGTGATGCGGCTCATAGGCGTAAGTTCATCATGTGTACGAATGGTCCTGACCCGGCAAGAAATAAGCTACCAGTTCCTGACAGACCTGGCAATTCTCTCCTCAGCTATCAAGGCTAGATACCCCCCAGCTCTGTAAACGCAGCTCGACTTACCTCAGCCCGTTTTCATGAAACCACTCGGCTCACCAACAGAAACGAACCGTCCACTCCATCGCTCTTTCTGGCGAAAATGGATGCCCGCTGTTACCTTCAGTTCGATGGAAGCCCCGGAAGTGGCAATTGGGCAACTGGCCGAACGCTTCGTGGCCACATGGAATGAGTACGTCCACTCGTCTGCCAATAAACAAGGAACAAACAACCTGCCCAGTTGTCGTATCCTGTTCAGGCACGACCCTCCCTTCCGTTAAATTGCAGGATGGTATCCGAAGAGATCTTGCCACGAGTCAGGTCGGGACTGTTTGATTCCGCTCATGTTTTGAGACTGTTATCTTCGATTGTGAACCCCCAAATGAGCTCAAAACGTCCGGAAATCTCGGCTGGATCCATCACGAGCCGCTTGGGGCCATTCCATGCCACAGTCTGGGATGCAAGGGCATGCTGAAGCTATGGGGTGCGGAAATAAACAACACATATTGTGAATGGACGGAAGCCAGTTCGCACTAACGTTCAGAAGTCCTAATTTTTGATGGTTCCCCGTAAATACTAACAAACAATGGTTGCAACCATGGTGGTGCGAAATGGATTTCGCAACCATCCACAGTAGGTGTGTCTCGCTGTCAAAAACGGTGAGTTTCCTTCTGGCCTCCCTTTGACACCAACCCAAAAGTGAACTCCTAAACAAAAGTCATATACGAGCAGATGGGCAAATTGGTGAGTCCCCATGTCCCTCCCAACTGGACCATAGACTGGACCTTTTGACCCAAGCTTGCACCAGGATTTCACCTGCAAATGTCGAAAGTCTTCAGGTCGGTCGAATAGCCGCCTTTACTTCCCGACGGAAAGGTAGCTCTGCCATGTACGTTTATCCTGGAACAGCTCCTTGCTGCTTGAAGGGAAACATGAAGGACTAATCGCTATGACCCACCAAGGTACCCATCTGGAAAAATATACAGATTCCACTGGTAGTTTACTAGAGCCCCATTCAGGCTCGCCAAGCCGAGATAAGAAATCCCTTAGGAAGGAACCTGGTCATCAAAACACCTTATGGGTGTGTAAAACAATATGTACACAAAAAGCAATAGGGTGTGTTGACCTAGATTCACATATGTATGTGTATAAATATAATTATGTCTACACATGTATGTACGTTCGCACGTATGTGTGTATGTATGTGTGTATGTATGTGTGTATGTATGTACACACGCACACATCTATGCATGCATGCATGCATGCCTGTATGTATATATAATGTACAATGCTACTACTGTATACATACACATATACACACATATACACATATAAACATACATATACATATACATATACATATACATATACATATACATATACATATACATATACATATACATATACATATACATATACATATACATATTTGTCTAGGTCCTGGGGACAGTATGAATCATCGATCATATGTTCCATCCATTTCTATCTTAAGTTTCCAGCATCCGTTGCTTGAAGGAAAACAACATCCATGTCTGCACAAACTAACAAAGAAGTAAAATGCCCCTACATCATAGGACTAAGCTTGCTTCCCCCCCCCCCCCCGAGCGATGAGCGAGCTATGATTGGTGCGGAACCTGTGTGCCATGGTCACGAGTCCGAACATGGGGATCATGGTCCTACCTCAAACCGAGGCGACGTTTCTTGTCAACGCTCGCTATGGGAGGTTGCGATTTAGCATCCAGAAGATATCAAGGACCTCTACCGGTCCCCAAGGGCTCATGACTGTTCGGTGCTGCGAGTGAAACCGTCGCAACGCTGGTCTATGAAGGAATGTGTCAAATCTGGCGTCCCAAGATGAGTTGTTTCCGTCGAGCTTGCTTCTCAAATGAACCAAGCAGGGCTCTTTTCTAAAATGAAACCCAAAAGGCGAAAAATATCTTCTGTAGATGCCTCTAGTTTTGACACATACCCATAGCAGAGCTGAAAATGAGCATTCTGCACAGCTCGGCCGGAGGCAAAGCTTTCGGTGTGCCAAACTCTCTTGCCCTTTATTTTACCTCACGCCATCGGAACAGAATGGACCGGCATGGTATGCAACGCGGGCCTCCAAATAAACGCGGCGTTTCCCGACCTGTCCCATAGCCAGCCCCAGGGCTGGGCCTGAGGGGGGGAAAAAACCCTCCCACACCAAAACCAGTTTCTTCTCCTTTTGGATCGCAACTATGCGCAATTTGGGCAGTGAAAGGTGTACTTTGATCTATGAAAGAGATTTCCGTATCCTCAATTCCGTGGATTCGCACAAAGTCGCAACTTGTTTACCAAAACAAAAGACTCAGAACCTGGGCTTGCTCAGCCGATTCCGTGTTCCAACCGGTTCAAACGGTTAGCAGTGTTTACTTCGGGGCGTGGCACACCCGTTGAATAGGGAAATGGAGAGTCGCGCATCGTGAATTGGTTTGCCATGCGCAACCTGGGTCAACAGTGTCCATGACATCGCCTGATTCAAGCAAACTATGCCAGCCTGAGGGCGTGCTAACTCTATTATATATATATATACATAGCTGCAGGTGGCAAATTTGTGCGGTAGCGGATTTTTTTTGCTGCGATCTCTTCTAGGGACCTTTGTATTGACCAACCAGCGAATGACAGGGGTCCGAGCCCTCCTGAAATGGGAGAAACAGGCCGTGCTATGTATTTAGGCTGCATACGCTTAGCTCCAGACATAGCAAGCCAATAACCACAACCTAAACATGGTACCAGCACCCTCGAACAATGCTTGACAGTACTTGGGATTTTGGACATGGGGAAAAACAGCTGCTGGGTGCTGGTGACCAACAGGTGTTTTTTTCACCTGCTGCACAAGTATCCAGACTCCGGTTTGCACACCTCTCTGCACTGGGTGACAACCAAATTCTCTGAGAATCGGCTGGTGTTCGACCACGAGAACAGCCGGCAGGCGTCTCACGCCCAGGCAGCAGCTCAAGCAAATGAACATACCGAACAAGATACCTGAAAGCGATACCTGCAAAACAAAGGGCATACCTGAACACAGGGGATACCCGAACACTTAAACAGCCTAGGTACCAGTCCCTGAGGAAAAATGGCACACCTCCCTAATAGTAAGAAATGTTCTTCCGAAACCCAGGGCCGCTCGCCTCAATGTCACCTAACCACCAACCTGCTTGATTCGCAAGCGGCTGAGCAACCAACCAGCCAAACCAAGCAAACCAACCAACCCAGCAACCAACCAACCAGTTCACGCATCACCAGCAACCAACCTGCCAGGTAGCCAACCCAACCCAACCCAACGCAACAAACCCACCAACCACCGAACCAGCCAGCCAGCCAGCCAGCCAGCTGAACCGACCAGCCAACCAACCAAGCACACAATCGCGAGAACAAGTGACCTCCCACCTTCCAAAGCTCACGCCACTTTCCGCCCTGTTGATTCCCTGATATTTGCAGGTCAGCTCACCGACCTCTTGGTTTGTGGCAAACACGCCTCCAAGAATCGCCGCTCGCCTGTCGCCGCGCATGCCTCTGCGCCAGAACCCGCACCTGTGTGCCTTCCAGCGATGTGGGGTCCCCGTCGGGTCGCATGGTCACAAACGACCGTGGCCGGCCATTCAAGAAGCCGTGGCCGGCCATTCGCAACCAAAAGAGCCAGGTTGATTGTGTGTTTTTCTAGTTGGGAGTATTAAATAAACGAGGCAAACCGCATGAAACTAATCATTTGTTCACTTGCCAATCAAAGCTTCACAGGAATCATCTTGCACGAAAGGCAAGCTCCACGCAATTGGGACAGTGCCCGTAAAACATGGGGAAGCAACGTGGCGTTCAGAACAGCTTGTTTATTCCTTGATATATTATTATTCCACAATGCATCACATCCGCAATAATTCGGGCTGAAGAGAGCACATAGGCCACAAGGCCACCGTCCCACGTGCATCGCAATGCAGAAAACAGCCAGAGAAAACGATCCGCCAGGGTGATCCTTTTGCCAAGTTCCTTTTGCAAGCTACAAATCAAACCTCTGTGAGGTCACAATTTTATTCTGCCAGAAGGTAGTCTTCAAAACTGGTTGTGAGACACGCGGTCTGGAAGAACTTGACAATACCAAAACCTTTGTTTTGCCTTTGTCTTCCATTTGCTTGAGCCCCCTGGACAACAAACAATATGTTCAGTAGTGATAGGTTCCCTTAAAAACCAACAAGGGAAAATTAAAAAACCTAAACATATTCATTTCACCAAACGGAAGTTGTGTTTCTGCACTTGGGCCTTCAAGGACACCCCGGCAATCTGCCCTTGGAAAACAGAAGTCGGCAGGTCTCTCTGCTCATTCTGCAACTTGCCACCGCGCAAAGCAAGAAGAGCAGGGAGCAATCAGAAGTCCTGCCAAGTGAGGAAATGAGAACAACCAATCCCAGGTACCACTGTAGTACGAAGCCAAAACCTAGGGTTCAACCCCCATTAAAAGACCCAATTTGGATGATGACAACCCTTAGGTATACAATTATTGTTGTACTAACCCCCATTGTTTTAATGCTGGATTGAACTCCAGGGGTACCACTGTGCTACGAAGCATTACGAAGCCAAACATTTTCAATCTGGCTTAGAAAGGGCTTCCTTGGTTGCCGTGTGGCAAATTCACACTGCTGGATCTGAAGTGCTGAACTCCCGTGCTAGCCGGCCTCGCTCTACCCGGTTACCCCAGGAGCATTCGTCTTCCCGGGGTAGGCTCCCCAGGAGCCCGCAGATTTCATCGCCCGATTTCTCCGGGCTTTGGCAGCGTCGCTCCTATTTGGCAAACCCAAAGTACTGGAAGCATCTGCAGCCAACTTAAAATCTCGAGCAGCACAAGGGTCCTGATAGATACCAAAAAAAAGCAGGCTCTTTTCAGAACCCCAAAGAAGAGGTTGGGGTGTGGTATGGCTTTGGGATCCAAAAAACGTCAAGCCCCAAGTCGATGGGTTTTTGGGCCTGCTGCTCATGAAGCATTGGCTGCACTGAACGCACGCCCCGTGCGCTCCCGCGCTGGCCGGAGGCTCTATCTCCTGTTGGTTCTCATTCTCTTGCTAGTGCGATAGGCAGGGAATGAGACATGAAATGGCCCCTACAAACCATCCAACTGGGGGTTTCCTTTAAGGGGACCAAAGCCTGGCTTCATTCCCACATTCCCTTCTTATCGCAGCAGCAAGTTCTTTCCAAGATCCAACGACCCCAAGGTGTGCTTTCAGATCTGGGCTCCGATATTCGCGCGGGGGGCGGCTGGCTTGCTTTTTGATCGGATCTATCTTGTCAGACCGCGAGAACGGGTTGCATGGTAGGCGAACCCAAGTGAAGACCTCAGCATTCGGCCGACCCGAGCGCACATTTCATGGGCCACTTGCGGCCAAGGTGTCAAAAAAACTCCCACAAACCGTAGCTCTGGAGAAACAAAGGGGAAAAGGGACTGAGGGTCGGGTGCTTCTCAAAATGTTGGAGCCCTGTTGGCATGCAATGAAAAACCCAAAGGAATCCCAACGAATGGAAACACCATGCACTCGAGCGAGCGCTTGGATTCTGTCCATTGATTGGGCCTCATGTCACTTAACTGGGTCCTCCAGTAGAGACGAGAGGTTAGAATAAGGGTACCCGATTTTTTCTGTAGTCTATCTTAGTAGGGGAACCCTCCCAATCAAAAAAGGGGAGAGAAGGGCACTACTGAAGGACCTAGTTAAGGTGCCACGCACCTCCATGGATTTGTTGGCATCCACTAATGCAAAAAACCCGCCATATCTCTCGGGGTACCCCATCGGCACGAAGCCTTGTTCAACAGGTCTGCGTTTTCTGACTTCCTGAAGCCTAACAAACCGCTCCCCTGTATTGATGTGTTGCCCCAAATGCGTCCGAAATCAACATTTGATCTGCGTAAGGCGGGTTGAGGAGGATCAATTGGAGTCAAGTAGGGAATGAATACAGCCTATGGTCAGCATTGCTAACTCCCAGTCAAACATAAGGCTTGGCTTACTTACATCCAGTTGGTATCAGTTTTGCTCGGCCCATGTCCTCTGGTTTCAGGTTCTAAAGACGGTTTATCAGCGACCCCTAAGGAAGACGGAGACAACCCTTACACTACGAATCTAATTTTGCGGACCCACAAACGGCTCCAGTCGGTAGACCCGGATCATCTAATCTAGATGAGTGTTACCAAGAAATTGGGCGCCCAAAAAATGGCTTGCCACCGATACAAACTCCCTGAGTAGGTGGGCAAACAAAGACTGAACTGTTCATTTGAGCCGCTACAATGGCCCCCCCGGAAAGTTCACTGCGTCCAAGAACTCAGGAGGTGAGAAAAATCACTCTGACATGTCGGGTATGAGGTTCCGGACAGTCCCAGCCGTAAAGCTGCTGTGTGGTTTTAAGGAACCTTTGGTTTTTTTGGCTAGTGGAAACAGTGGCCACGCTTATTACTGTAGTGCCTTCCATTTGAAGCGAAGAATCGCTCGGGGTAGAAACATGGTCTGAGTAAGGGTCCAATACCGTCCAGGCGATTCCACGGAAGCTCCCAGGACTTTCCAAGGCGTACCAACTCTGGGCTCCAAAAAGAGGCAAACAACCGGTTTGGTTGGCCAGGACCTCTTATGGTTCTGAATGTTCTGAGGCTACACACGATGGGATTAGAGGTGGAGAAAGGCATTCAGGTCAGGGGTTCATCAATCCTGGGTTAACATTAGCAGAGCTACTGGAATAGCCAACCAGGAAGGCCTCTGCTTTTGTATATGTTCTTTCCCCCAAACTTGGAGCAATGAACATGCATGGGGCGAGGGGGAATGCAAAGGACCTTCCAATGGGTCTGGATCTGGAAACAGGCTGGCTGCGTTCTTAGAGGGTCTGGAAAAAGAAGATATTCTGTCCTTCATACCCAATAAGGGGTATATATATATATATATGGGGTATCTAGTTTTCAGCCTTTTGTGACCCATAACACGGACCCAAGTAAAACTGCTTAGAAGCAAGACTCCCACAGATAGATCCTGAACTGGTTCCAGTGACGCCGCTTGTGCCAAGTAGATCTTCGGCGACCACTTGCGCTTTGCAGGAAAACGACCTGGAAACTCACTCTGCGACATGGAAACATTGGCATTCATGACGGGGCATTCTCCCAAAAGCTTTGCTAGGTCAAATATTGCCAAAGGTTCTGGGCCATGGCCTCTGTCAAAGGTGCCGAGAAGTCCAAGTTGAATCCGCCCATTGCATCACACTCTTCGGGCTACCCGCACCCGAGGTCCCTGAGGTTTCGTTCAGCAGGCACGGGTCCGTGAAAGCATCTTTGCCAAGCTAAAATGCACCTTCACCAGCTTCCATTTGGTTGAGACCCCTGGCAAACAAAAAAATCCAGTAGTGAAATAGATTCCCTTTGAAACCAACAGGGGAAAACAAAACATATTCTTTTCAGCAAATGGAAGCCAGCTGTGTCAAATGGATTCTACGTGCAGGTGTAGCCTTTGAGGATTCCTTCAAAACCCCACGCCCGGACGCCTCCGGACACGTCCGGGTCTCCCGAGACCCGGGCGGGCAGAAGTCGCAGAGTCCCGGGGGCTGCGCCAGAAGGCAGGGCTGTTCCAGGCGCCGCGGCCTAACTGAAACGAGTTGGCGTCTCAAATGACGTTTAATTGGTGGGTCTAAAAGGGACACCAAAAGGAAACAATTACCAAAAGGGTCCCAAATGTCGACAAACACCCATTTGTTCAGCTTCCCCCCTAGTTGGTGGTTTGAAGCCGCATCGCTGGTTTGATGATCGGAAACCCCATTTACCCTCCAGAAGAAGCAGGGTCCAAATCCCCAAACCACCCCAATCCACACCACCAACTAAAGGTCACGTGATTTTGTTGCTTGCTCTCAAACCACAAGACAATAGTCACTTCTTGAGATTGCCTTTTTCGAGTCGGTACCCCTTAGGTTGGTAAGGGAACCCACAGCAACAAGGAAGACACAGGGACCCCACTTGAGCGACGCTTCCGTCTTTTTCCGTGCCTCCGCCCCGAGTGCAGTCCACGGGTGTCTGGTACACGGAGGACGCCTGACGTCCGACGGATCTGCATCCGACTGAACTGCCTCAAACCCCGAGCCCGAAAGAGCGGCAGAACTGGAACTTGTCCAGCTTGGTGGCTGTAACGACCTCCCTGCAAAAAGTTTAAGTAGCTTGTTTTGTGGGTTCAATACAGAAAACCGACTGCATGTCAACCTCTGCAAAAAGTCTTATTTTTTTTGGGTGGGTTCTATGTATCAAACCGAACCAACAAGTTAAAGTCTAAAGATCCAACCCAATAGCAATCAAGTCAACATTGGAAAGCAAATAAACGTCTCGGAAGTGCCAGGTGTGGAACAAGAAGTCCCGAGGGCAGGTAACGCCGTGCACGGGGTTGATCATGTGCCAAGCCGAAGCAGTTGGCAAGCAAGAGCTGCCACGCAGCGGCCGCAACCAAGAAGAACAACAGCCCGAAAGCCTGCAAGAAATGCAATGCATCTGGCAAAGCTTCTCAAAAGGCGGCCTGTTTTGTGCTTGGGCGTGAAGCATCTAAAGAGAACTCAAGGACACTCCGTCAGGCTCCTTTGGCCAGCGTGAGGGGGAACTTTCGTGCACCTCCAAGAGGAACCAGTCTCACTTGGGGGGCCGACACAGTTTTCCCAGTGAGGTATATAACGTATGAAAAGGACCATGAGGGTGCAAGCAGGAGCACAACCGTAATTTGGCATTGCTTTGTTTTGCAACATTCAGGCAATCAGCCATACCATTTCTTAGGTTCACAAAGCAAACCAGAGACGCAATCCGATTTGGAGGTTCAATTCGATCATGTTTAAAAACCGTCGCTTAGTGAGAAGGGCACCTTTTGCGAAGGGCACCCGTGGAACTTCCAAGCCAATGTTCAGCATGACTTTTTTTTCCCCAGGTGAAGGTTACTACAAATGCGACTCGCGTTTGACCGTCCAAAAGTACTCCGGAGGAGCACAAGAAGAGGTTGCCCTTCAAGCAGCGGGCATCCTCGTGAGGACGATATCTTAACTTGATGTAATTGTTTCTTCACTGTCATCTTGAGGCGTAGTGACAAAGCAACGTAGATTTGCCAGACATCTGCATAAGTTCCTATTACTCACCAATCAGAATCGAGGAACCCTCCAAATCCTTCATCTTGGGGCCCGAGCTGGTTTCATCCAAATCGGTGAGCTCGCAAATGCAGAGTCGCCGCTGTCTGATTCGCCGACATTCTTTTTTCATAGACCCGTTTCTGCAAGGGTGAATAGCAAACCGATAAAACCCACGACCCCCCTCGTTGTTTGTGTTTGGAGGGGCAAGCCTTGGCTTTTCTTCAACTCGGGCAACTGCAGATTGTTCCCGACTCCTTCCACCGCCCCTGGGCCAATGCTCCGGGTGCCTCGCAGCGCGAGCTCCTGCAAAAGAGTCAAATGCCCCGAGCAGCCGAATGCCGAGTGAGCGAGACTCAGCCCCCTCAGTCATATTCCTATGGTTGTCCAGGGCCCCGCAAAAGGACCCCCCCCAATCTTAATAGGGGCCAAAAACGCGCCTAACAGGGTCTATTGGAGGGTAATAGGGCTCCTTTAAAGCACCCTTAGGCGGGTCCGCTCTTTGGGCGTCCCTAACAACCATAGGACATATACCACAAGGTATACCAAAAAGGCTTCAGGACATGGGGACGGGGTAATTATTTACACACGCTTCATTCTTCTATGATCATGGATTGGTTTAATCTACCACGCAAACACGTCAAAGTGTGGTCCCCTTTTATTACATTTTTACGGCGTTTGTTATTTGCCAGTGGTTCCATGTTTACCACAGTTTAACAGGTATCCCAAGTAACCACCATTTGAAGATCTGTTTTCAATTCCTCCAATGATTGCTCTTGCCACTTTCAAAACGCGAAGCGGGGTCTAAAACCAATCACCCGGCCGAAGCGGTTGGAGACGGCAAACAGCTTCCTTGAAGGGGCCCCTTACATTCATTGCAGGGGGCGTGGGGGCGTGCACACCACATGTGCGGTTTCTCAAAATGGTCGACCCCCATTTGGTTGGCTTGAAGGAAAACCCATATGGCATCACAAAGGAAAATGGACACCGACTAGCTTCAGCGGACACGAGTCGTCCACTGTAGAATTTCGCGCTTCCTGAGTTTCTGAAGGTACATTTGGCATTTGCCCAGTGATAGAAAAGACACCCTCTTTAATTGGCGTGGACCATTTTATTGGGGAAACCAAAACGAAAGAGAAAATCAGGTGTCGCTGAACATCTGGGTTTTCGTGGGGCCCAAGGTGTGAGCTTCTTTGGTGCGGAGCTACTCAGGAAGCGAGTTGAGGTTTTCATGAGACCCTTGGTGAAAGGAATCAAAGGGTACGGAATTCAATCATTTGGGTGTGTCTTTTTGGAGTTGCCTTAAAGCCACACATCGAGGGAAAAGCGCGCCGTTTTGGGGGCTCCTCAATTTGCAGACATCCCCAATTGGAGACAAGCTTGGACATAAATGGATCGGGGCGATGCAGAACCACAGGTAAATCCCCGCTAAAGCGAAAGGACATGAAGAAATTAATGTTGGTCATGCCTTGAATTAGAATACCTCTGATGAAAATTCACACCGGTCACTTCTTGCCAAGCAGGGCAAGCGACACAGGTGACCTTTTGCAGCCAATTATGTTGCATGTGACACAAGCAAACTGCGAACGCTTATCTCTGGTCAACATCATGTTCAGGTACCGCTTTTGAAGCTATGGAGGCTTACCGCACACCCACACAAACACAACATAAGGAAAAATAGACATATAACAATTATCGCCCTTGTATGTGGCCATGGGTCAAACCCCCGTACCCCCAGTGAACATCCGATTCAATCCCCATTAAAATAGGTTCTAAAATGGGTGGTGAATCCACCTACCCAAAATTGGGATCCCATTGGTTTTGACCCACACCTTACCGCCGCAATCTGGGCTTCCCTGCGATGCTGGATCGGGCGACGGCTTGCCTTGCGGATTTCGGGCCCTTTCGAACCGGACAACCGATTGCCCCAGCTCAAGGAAAGTCTCGGACCAATGAGAGAAATTGGCACCCCACTTCAAAAGAACAAACTCTTACAAGCTCTCAAAAGAACAAACTACACCAAGGGCTTCGTTTGTATGTGCCTTGGTGGCTGCGTTGGTTTCCTTTCAAACCCCCGGAAAAGGGGAACCAACCAACCCCCCAACACCCCCCCCCCGTCCAGGCGAATTAAAACGCCTTTTCTTCTTGTTTGTCAAGTATCTTCCTTGGCTTCCCAGAGTTTTGAATGGACAAGACGTGTCTCCGTTTCTTGCTTCCCGGTGCCTCACGGGTGCCCGAGCAAAAGTGAGATGTACCTGGTCTCTAAAAAGTTTCTCTCTCTCTCTCTCTCGCCTCCAGATGCTGCTGACACGTCAAATCAGCTTGGACATTTGAAACAAATCCTACATAGATGTTGCACTCAGCACAATACGTCCGTCCCGAGACAATGCCAATGCCCTAAGGTGCCCCTCACTTCTAAGCCTAGACGAGCTTTACAGTACCCGTCCACCGAAGTTTGTGGCCTGCGCGCGATATCAACGGCTTTCCTATGTGACTTGCCCGCCTTCGGACTCCTAGCTCATGTTTGACCCTCCTTAGGCTCTCAATCTGGCTGAACATGTTTTTAGCCCAGTTGAGCCCAAAATGGCCGTGGGTTTAATGGGTTCATACCAGCAACATCCGTGAACTCATTGCTTCCAAGCCATCAAAGTCCCCCCTCTCCAACTAAAAACTTGTAAAGCGTTTAGGGGGAGTTTCTGATAGAAAGCACGAATTCAGGGGACACTGGCCCGCCGCTTGAGACACACCCTCCACCAAAAAAAGCTCCGAAACACGGCTTTCGACAAGATGTCCCTCCAAAAGTGATTTGGATGGTCGTCGAAACGGTCACTTTAACGGACCCAGTGGCCCGCCCAACCCCACTGACAGCATTTCGATGCCGAGCGGCCCTCTGCTTCACGCGCTCGGCTCCGGTCGCTGCTGAAGCCTGCCATTGCACGAGAGTAAGCGGCAAACGAGCTGCACCGGGCCATCATTTTAGCCAGCTTATCTTGGTCAATGTTCTCAGTTGTTCAGTGACCCTGGAACAAAAGGGAACCCTTTTTGGGGAAGACCACTTTAGTGGGGCAGCCACCACAAACAAAGGGAAAAAGGCTGCCACTGAACAACTGAGCACCTGAGCCAAAGAATCAACTATGTTCTGCCATGGTCAAAAGCTCAATGCATGTCTGGTATCGCAGGCACTCTGCGCATCACTGAAGAATGTCAGTAGTCATTTAGCCACATATAATATGCCCACCAAACAAACAGGGATCTAAGGGGTGTCATTAAACAACATAAGTTGTTCAAGCTGACCCGGCTGCTATTTGGCCCTCTGCACTCCTGAGAAAGCATTGCATCAGGCTTCAGAACGTTGACGCCTTTTGTTCGTTTGCCCACTGGAGTCGCAACAGCTGAACATGCCCTTCCAGGCAAACCTTTCAATAGCTTCATGTCGCGATCAAGCTAGGCTTCGCGTGCAATGAACTGAATAAGATCGCCAACTGATTCGACTGTTGAGGCAATTCGCAAAATCCTCTGCCTTGAAAGCCTGAAAGATACAGTACATGTGGCTAGGCGATGGGAAAGCCGAGGAGCCCCCGCTGGCCCAAAATGGGATTTGTCCCTTGTGGCAGATTTGCCGACTTGAGCTCAAACAACAGGTGCCTTTAAACTCTCTACTAGACGTGGCCGGGGATTGTCGAGGTCCTCCAGTAGAGAGGTTAGAATAAGGGTCCCTTTTTTCTGTAGTCTAATTTAGGGGACCCTCCCAACCAAAAAAAGGTGAGAAAGGGCCCCTAGCTGGGGGACCGAGTTGTTCAAGCGCTAAACATGTCTCAGTCAGCCACCCTCTGGCTTCACACGCGGAACCAGCCGCGGCACCCGCCTGACGCGCCTGTCTCTGAGTCTGCACGGAACCACCTGAGCGAAAGTGCCCCGTTGACCCCCACAACAGAAATGCTACAGATAGTAAAGCGGTCTTGTTCACAAGCTTTCTATTTGGGTGAATTATACTAGTTCACCAACCTGAAATAAGGTGGTTGGGCGGCTATTCCCAACATGAACCACCATTTTGAGTGAATTCGGTCGTGTGAGGTCGCTATAATTCACCCAGTTTCTATTGAAATCACGTGTCGTGTGTAGGTTCCGGGTCCGCTTCTGGAACTTCAGGACCTCCGCCATGGGGTGGGCCGTTTGACACCCCCGGGATGTAGTCGCGCTGGGGTGATGCAGCGCATCACCGTGTGCTATTTTTGGGAACTGCCAGTCTCCCTCCATTTGCTTGAGTCCCCTGGAAAAATAACAAAAACAAAAACATATGTCCAGTAGTGACAGATTCACTTTAAAGCCAACAGGGGAGAAAAAACAACTTAACCAAATGGATGTCTCGAAAGCACCAACGGCTGACGCGTTCTCTTCGTTCGCGGCATGCGCGCCATCGGCTCCCCTTAAGATGTCAGTCGGCTCGGCAGTCCACTGCTTCGTGCGAACGCCGCCGGCGCTTCGAAGACTACGTGGTCTGATCAGATTGTGCAGCCATGTAAGCTATAGATGAATACACCTTTCCAAGGGCCCGCAAAACCAAGGTCCTTCTAGATTTTGCTCTTGGTCAAAAAAATGACCATCAGCCAAAGGCCTGCTTTTTCAGAGTCCTGGAAGATCGAAGACAATGCTCACTCGAGTGGACTGACCAAAACAAGTCACTCATTGTAATTTGCTATGGTCTTCACTGAAAGTACCAAGCACAACTCAGGGCGTAAGGCCTTCCTCTCCCCTTGCTGAGCTCTTATCAAAGCATGGCCATTCGGAGCAATGATCGTTGGGCCACGCAACGCACACCTGTTGATGGCGACTTGAGCCAGAGTTCCATTCCTGTAAATGGTTTCTTCACTTCATAGGTGTTTGCAATGATCAAATTATGTTGCCATGTTACGGCGAATAGTGACACTAGCACCCAAATGGATAGATATGTGATGAGGGTACCGATTCTAAGAGGCTGTGCAAAAGGAACACCAAAAGTAAACCGTCCATTTGGAGGTTGGTGTCCTATTTGGAGACTACTGTAGCATCCAAATGGATACTCTGCTGCAAACTAAAGTGAAACCATTGGAACCCTACAACACACACTCACACACATGCTTCAGAAGAAGCTCCTTTTGTGACAGCCTGTTCTTGGATTTCTTCCTCTAATTTGCAAGGGAATTCACAAAATCCACACGAATGTCTCATCCCACGTTTACTCCCCTAACGTTCAACATTGCACCCCAAAACAGATCCATTCTCGCAGACATCTGCTTTCGGAAGGACCCTTTTGGCAGCTTCCAAGTGAATTTGCAGAGTTTGGCCCCAATGAGTAGTCAAGACCAAAGAAGCGCTAAGGACCCAGTTTCAACGCATTCGCGCAGAAAGCCACGAAACAGCCCGTGACATTGGCTGGACTTGTATGGCTGTGGGGAACCCTGGTAAATGGAGCCAAGGACCAAAACCTGCGGTCCATTTCCTGAAGGTTGAGTTTTGACCCATACCCATGGGAAACCTGACAACCCTTGGGCCTAGAATTGTTATTACAAAAAGCCGATCAGGGTCTACCCAAATAATGCCAAATATTCCGCGCAGCGCTCACTTTCCATCTTCAGGTTCCATAGGTGTCCAAAGGTTCACAGTTATATTTTCGTCAAACAGGACTTACCCTTCCTCCAACTAACATGACGCATTTGTGGGAGGGCACCTGTAAGATCATGTTCCTCTTGCAGAGACCCCCTTGTAAGGCCCTATGTTTGTGGGAGGGAGAGTACATGCAGCCGGCATGGGTCCTTGTGAGGCAAATAGATGGCCATGGTAGATGATTGAACCACCAGGTAAACCAGGAATCGCCATTTATTTTCCGACCACAGCCAAAAAGGACACCTATGTTTTTGCCGGGTTGCGACATTGCGAGGATGGATCGCGGTTCGCTGCATCAGGGATCCGTACATGAAAAACACCTGAACATTGCAACTGCAACTTGTATATGGTGGTTTCCAACTTTACTTTGGCGGAAAAGCAACATGTTTCAAATGGTTGCAAAAGGTATCTTTTAAGCAGCCCTGTTCATGAAAACCGGTTTCCCCATAGTGGCAATGGATGCCGTGGGCGCCGGGCGTCTCGAGCAAAGGCTCTTGCATACTATTCTGCCTGCCAAGGACGCGCTTTTTCATCACCATGGCATGGGTTCAAACAGTATCTGCTGTGGCTCATACACCACCAATACCTCCATTTGCTTAAGTCCCCTGGACAAAAATAAAATTGAAGAAAACACATATCCGGTAGTGGTTGATTCCCATAAATCCAACAGGGGGAAAAATATCATTCAAATTGAAGAATATAGGGTAAGGCAGTACGCAGCTCTTACAGAATACCCTCCGTGCCCTCGAAAAACCTCAATTGATATTGTCGTGGCCTATGTTCAACCCGGAGCCTAGGGTTTGCGTATCTACCATGATCTTCGCTCATGGCAAAAATGTAAGATGTGTTGATCCTTGGGAAATTATTCCACGCCAAGCGCTTTCATTTATATGTCAGGTGGGCAAACAAACCACCCTTTCAAAGGCCACCGGGCACTAAAGCGCTTGGACCCTTGTTTGGGCGTTCGGTCAATTTAGCAAGCTGTTGGAAATCTATTTAATGACCCGCGTGCAAAATGCCCCATTGTGTGGAGTTAACCCTTTTATTGGTGGAGTAGCTAACCACTTGCAAACTTGCAACAAACATCCAGGCAAAGATTGCCAGATTGCCTACCTTACTCTTGTGGTTTTTTGGGTACCCCATTTTGGCGGGATTGTGTTGAAGGGAACCAAAAGGAAACCACAAAACAGGGCTCCCAAATTTTGACATTTTCTGCCGTCAGAGTTTAGGGTGAAGCTGGCAAATATCAAACACATCATGCAGCAGTTGCAGGCAAGCCAATCTACACCAGGGAGCAATTCAGAGTGTGCAACTTGGTAGCTTCCCTTTGTTTCTTGGTTGCTGTTGACCCCCTGCAATAAGTTTAACTTTTTCGGGGTCTAGTGGAAAACCCCTTGATTTCCCCAAAAGTTAAAGTCTAAAGATCCAACCCAATAGCAGTCAAGGTTTAGGGAATTGACCGCGCAAGACGAGAACAAACTGACCAAGGCTTTTGCATGACTCATTCATAGTCTTTCTGCCTTTGTCCTGAAGCCTTACTACACAAGGCTTTGGTCTTCATCCGAGCCATCAAGATATTCAACCATCATGTATAGATGGTAAGATGCGGATTGGTCCCCCAGTCTTCAGTCTCGATAGGGATAGACAGGATACTTTGCCGGCCCTGCTGATACCAAACCTCTGCTTTTTGTCGCAACCCCCGGCCCAAAGATGGTGGGAAGAAAACATCCCGAGCACTTAGAATGTTACCGAGTTGTTGCAGCTCCCACTCACTAATAATGAACAGTGCAAACAAACTGGTTCAAAGCCCCGTGAAGAAATGGTCTCATTGACACTTATTTGGGGTGAGTGAAGCGTGACGCAACGGCCTTTTGTAAAAAAAAAAAAAATCACTTGTTAGACTTTCACCCAGGTTGCGTGGGAACAAGCAAACAAACGCTTTTCTAGGTTGTGCTGTTCTCACTGAATAATACGCTCGTACCAATTCACCAAGCTGAATTACAAGTGACGCGAACCGAACCACCCCTCGACCCTTACCCAGCTTCCCCAAAGGACCCTAACTTACGACTGGTGGCTTCCTCAATGGGAAATCCGAGTCTCCAAAAGCGGAGATTTGGTCACACAGACCGGCCATTCCCCAGGGATCCTCTCTTCAAGACATGGTGACATGTGATACTGTGGATGGACGAAATCCTGCACCACTATGAAACAATGGGAAACCAGTGTTTGTTGGTATTTACAAGGGAATCGTCATTCCAGGGATTGTTGAGTGGTGCAGGATTTTGTCCATCCACAGTATGGCCAAGAACAAGCCTGAACTGTTCTGGCTCGCCCAGTCCAGGAACCAGTAAACTGGGCTGTCCTCGGAACCCCTCCTAAACCTAAATGGGGACCCCCGCAAAGCAAAAAAACAACAAAAACTGAAGGAACCTGAGGGCTGGGAACCAAAGTGGAAGCCCTTAACCATTAACAAAAAGCGAAGGAACCGCGGGGCTGGGAACCAAGTGGAAGTTCTCCTTTCCCGAGCGGTCGCTCCTGGTGGTGGTCGACTCCTGCGCCTCCTGGCTCCGAAAGAGGAAAGTAGGGACCCCTTCAACCGGCAAAAAGACACGGCGTCCGTCCCTTTCTCCAAGCCAAAAAGCAAACCAGAACTACACGTGCTTTGTTTTTTGGAGCCAAAAAAGAGGTTGGGGGATGAAAAAGGAAAAAGTCCCCGTGAAGTCCCTTAAGTTTGAAGGCAATCCAAGAATCCAAGTGGCTAAGCACCTACATGGTCGATCATTCGATTAAGGGCCCCTTGGTATCTGGCAAGAATGTACCAAATGACGCCGGTTTTGCACCTTCTCCTTAGAAGGTCCCTGGGCCTCTCTGGGTAACTATGATTCTTTTTCTAGGGGAGACAATTTATGACACCATCAGTATTCTAGGGGTACCTTCCCCATTCTTTCCAAGGATCCTTCTTTCTAGCAAACGTCTGGAAACCCAGGGAGACGGCTGGTTTTTGAAAAAACATGACTGTTGGAACGAATGGGGAATCAACCCCTAGAAGTATGGATGTGAGGCCGCAATTTCCCCTTTCTGAGGTCGCTCGAAGTTGCAAAACGAACATATAGAAAACCAGATCCGAGTGGTGGGATTCTGGATAGTTTCTGCCTCAAACTTACACTGAAGCCACGACAAACACATATTGCCGAGTTTGAGAAAGACTCGTATCGTTGGTACTTGCCCTTGTTTGTCTTGCAAGGGAGCCCACTTGCCACAAGTAGAAGTCATTGCAGTTTCAAAGAGGACCTACAGAAATGCTTCGTGTCATCTTCCTCTACTAAGCAACAGGAAGACCCGGCCACAGAGTGAATTGCTTCTGGTGTTTCACGCACGAGTAAACCTAGGGGAAAACCTCTTGCCAAGGGGCATGCGTTACAAAAAGTCCGGCATAAGAAACCACAACCGCCCATTCAGGCGTGTCTCAAAACTAGGGATTCCCCTGAACAAACAACAGAACCATTCTGTGCTCTGGCAGTATGCTCCAAGCTCGGATGCTGGCTGCAATAGCGAGTCCCGCGAACAAACACTCCTCCGTAAGCTCTTGTGAGATCCAATTCTGCCTACATCTGGGGTATCCAGAAAATAAGACTTTCCTTTATATTTAGTCTACCCGAACACAAAGGATAGTTTTGGCGGAGACCCGCCAATTGTTCAACGGAGTAAGACTGGTCTCATGCTTCTTGGCATCCACGCCAAATGTCAGAAGAGCCAGCCCCCCTCCCTACCCCCCCCCCCTCCCTGTCCCCCTGTTTCTCCAAAACCCAAATCAACGCTAAGGCTTTCTTTGGAGGACGCCACTTTTCAGCGGTGCTCCAAGCCCGAGTCATTCACGGAATGGGCGCGCTGGGGTGTCTTCGCATGCACCAAACAAGAAGGGATTTTAAGGATACCTAGGCCTTGCTCTTATTGGGAGTGGATAGCCACCAACTTGGCCCAACATCCAAATCGGTATGGTACACAAACTTAACCCCGAACATAACTCTATGGATTTCGCGTTTCATTTCGGTGTCCCTTTTGACCCAAACTTTGCCTCACTCGCCCGAAGGGCCTGGAAATTAACCTGGAGCCTCCATCGTAGCAAACAGTTATGCCTCCCCCTGGTTTGGTACACAAATTGACACGTTGTAGCTTGTTTTTTCCTCCAACTGCTTTCGAGCATGTCGGCTTCGAGCAGAAATCAAGTTCATTCGCGGAGGCGAGTTTGGGAAGAGGCATCAACGAATCGAGCGCACATCGGCGCCAAAAAACGCTAACGAGCAAACTTCCAAAACATGGTACAGGAAATGGGTTCCTTTTGGCGCATGATTGCCGACAGCTCGAGCCATTGTTGTTGAATTGCATACATATATTGTAGAACAGGGTTGTCACGAGAAACAATATTTCGTTCCACAAATCAATTTATGCATGGAAGCTGCAGGAAAGGTTCACCTTTCCGGACCTTGACTATGGGCCAAAATGGGAAAACCACTTTGGGTCGAATCGAAAAGTCCAGGTTGCCAAACGGGCCGCTCCTCGTCCACGCGGGGTGCCCAGCTACTCTCCGGGGGGTCTGGGCTGGTGGGCCACTGTAGGCCTCGATTGGCTCGTGCGTTTGAGGCTTGGCATAGCCGTTTTGGGGCGTGGTTCAAGGGGAAACCAAAGGAAAGCACTTTTGTTTTTTTCATCTTGAGGGGGGGGGGGGGCGATTCCCAAGGGAACAACCATGGAATGATATGGAATGACTTTAAGCGAGCAGACCAAGCACACGGGAACACGGGCGCACGGACATATATCTTCAAGCCAGCCAATTCGTTGGCTTCCACGTGGATCAAATAGGGGATCACCCCCTCAAACCTGGTGGTGTTCCTTCTCTAAAGAAGCCTCACTACAGGCCTCACACAAAGACACGCCCATGTGTTTCGTTTTGAGATCTTTTGAGCCAACTCTAAACAGAGGCACCTTCTAAACAGACGGATCGCAGTTCAGTTTCTCGTCACGACAGTTTTCATGATGCACAAATGTACGTGCTGCATGTGTGTAGACATGTGCAAGTGTGTATTGGTAATGTGTACTTTTACATATTTTCTGCCGATTCAATATGTGCAACACATTTCAACTAATATGTTTGTGCACAGCTGCTTTCCAAGTGTTCACGAGACATGGTCCATGTTGATCGCAATGACTGATAAGTTGGTACAGTGAGTTGCAAACACTTGCATCATGCCGGCAAAACCGCACCTCCAACTTGTTGCCAACTGAACACATTTGCAACTATTCGGAAAACCGGCTAAAGGCAAGACAGAGTTGCTTCATTGGATGTTGGGGGTGTTGGCCAAACATGACATAACATTGTGTTCTGCTTCTTCCGATCAGCCACTTCCTCTAGGGGTACGCTTGCTTCTTTCCAGAAAACCTGATGGCTTATGAAAAAAAGATGTGTTGAGCAGAATGGGGACGTGTCATCTGTCATGCGTTATGCGGCAACTGCCTTGCGCAAAGGTGTTAAACAACGTGCACTTTCCCCCACATTCAAAACGGGCCGCAACACGCGTTCAGCAACGAGGTGCTTCCCAAAAACGCACCCGAATTTGGAGATCTCGAGTGGCCATGGGGGGGGAAACACCCCTTTTTGTTTGGTTGATTTTGACGGGGTTCTTCCACAGGTCTTGACCTACTTCGAACCACACTCGGCTGAATACGTGACATCCCTAATGTTAGATAGCGATTAATAAAACGGGAGTGAATACAGGAAAAAACATCTCAAAATGATTCACTCTCCTGAAAAGCAAAAAGGGTAGGTATTACAGAAAAAAATCTGCCCGAAATCCCGAAAATATGTCCCCTTCCAAGAATGGACTAATTTTGAGGGTTGAAACGTTTGAGTCCAGCCAGAAATGTCCAGAATTTCTGGATTGCTTCCCGTCCCAAACCACCAAATTCCTTATCAATCCCTTTACTAGAAGATGCACCCTGACAAATTTTCAAGGGGGTGGCACACGGAACCCCCAGGAAGGCAATAATGCAGTTTGTTTAAGGGTAGGGAATTGTGAAGAAAAAATGGCCAGGGCAGCCTGCCAAGAAGAAGAACCAATACTCAACCAATTCTAAACTGTAGTGAGTCAACTGAGAAGAATACTGAACTAATACTAAACCAATTCTAAACCGTAGTGAGCCAGCTCAAAGGAATACTTCTAAACAATACTTCCTGGAAAACTACTCAGGCAGGTCCCAGTCTGACCCCCATTTTGTTTTTGGGGGTTCTCGCTACTGACCCCCCCCAATTCGTTTGAGGGGGGGGGGGGGCAATTATTAATCACTCCCCAACATTAACCACAATTACCCTCGCTAAATGGTGGCTTGAAGGGAAACCACACCAAAAGTAAGTGAGATAGCCATGCAAAAAGTTGACTTTCAGACCCAGTGTTGAAAACTAAAAATGGGTGTTCCACCAGGCTCCCCTTCCAACCACTCGAAAGTAATACCAGTCGGGTGACCTCGACGGGTTCGAACAAAATTTGGTAGTTCTAATTCGGCTACCCGCGTGATTGTCAATTGAACCGGCCCTCTGAACCGAAAGCTACAGGAAACAAGTCGACCTCCATGAAAAGCACGGCGGCATTCTCGAAGCAGCCCATGTCCCCAACACCGACGCCAAGGCCTCCGCAGGCAAGAGCCCGAGAGCAAGACGCCGCCACAAGTCAGCATGATAAACCGCCTTCTTTGTCATAAATGCCTTGTGGTGGTGGCGCTGCAGGCGTAACTTTTGCGCGTTGCGCAGGTTTCGCAAATCCTCCATGGCCTCCGCCTGGGAGCTTCGGAAAAGCCGGCGCTGCTTGCCCAAGACCGTTCCGTGTGTGTGTGTGTGTGTGAGTGCGTGCGGAGTTTCTGATCAACCCAGGAACCACTCATGTTCATACGCAGGGGGGCTGGTAACGAAGAGCCTTGGACATGGCGCTGACATCAGTGATCACGCTCACATCCCACTCGAACATCGGTCTACTGGAATGGACAGCATTCTCCCTCTGGAGTTTAAGTGTGTGTGTGTGTGGGTGGGTAGGTGTGGGTATGTGTTTGGGTGTCTGTGTGTGTTTGTTTGAATGTGTCTGTGTGTCTGTGTGGGTGCGTGCGTGCGCGGGTGGGTATGTGTTTGTGTGATTCTGTGTGTCAGTGTGTGTGTGTGTGTGTCTGTGTGTGTGTGTGCGTTCGTGCGTGCGTGCACGTGCGAGGTCGGCTGGGTGCTTGTGTGCGTGTGTGCTTGTGCGTGTCTGTGTGTGTGTGTCTGTGTGTGTGTCTGTGTGTGTGTCTGTGTGTCTGTGTGTGTGTGTGTCTGTGTTTGTGTGTCTGTGTGTGTGTGCGCGTGTCTCCGTGTGTCTGTGTGTGTATGCATTTTTGTGTGTTTGTGTGTTTGTGTGTGTGTGAGTGTGTGAGTGTGTGTGTCTCTGTGTCTCTGTGTCTCTGTGTCTGTGTCTTTGTGTCTTTGTCGGTGTGTCTGTGTGTCTGTGCGTCTGTGCGTCTGTGTGTCTGTGCGTCTGTGTGTCTGTGCGTCTGTGTGTCTGTGAGTCTGTGTGTCTATGTGTATATATATATATATATATATGTATATATGTGTATATATGTGTGTCTGTGTTGCTGTGTCTGTGTGTCGGTGTGCATGTGTGCATGTGTGTGTGTGTGTGTGTGTGTGTCTGCGTGTGTCTGCGTGTGTCTGCGTGCGTCTGGGTGTGTGTGTGTGTGCGGGGCGGGGGGGTTGTTGGGTTGTGGGTTTGTGGGTGTGTGCGTGTGCGGGCGCGTGGGTGCCTGTGTGCGTGGGCGGGCGTGCTGGTGGGTGTGTGAGTGAGTCTGTGCAGGCAGGCGTCGGTGCGTCTGTGTCTTTATTCTGTGTGTCTGTGTGGTGGTGTTCGTGTCTGTGCGTGCGTGTGTGTTTAAGGAGATCGCTTTTGGTTGGTTTTAAGCCCCAACTTTTGGGCTTCCAAATTTGCGCCCAGCGCAGGCACGCGCCGGGCAACCCGGCGCTTCAAGAAGTCTGCACGGAAGCTTTCGCCCAGCATGGACGCGGTGGTCGACTCCTGTCCTGGAAAGTCATGCAAAGCCCCAGCACAAGACCAGGGCCGGGGGTAAAAGCTGCCTTAGGGCTTAACAAATTCAATAGCGAAAAAAAACAAAACAAACAACACAAACAAACTGGATGCCTGTTTTAGGGCCAATCTGCCAAATGGAAATCCAACGGCATAGTTGCTTTCCCTTTAGCACTTGGGGGGTCCCCAAAAAGGCAAGACACACCGTTGCCAAATAAGGACCAGAAGTTGCGACCAGAGTCCGGCCAAAAAAGTGGATGATATATATAGATTCCATTTTTGGTAATCCCGCCAAACAGGAAGACCTGTTCGACTCCTCCGGGTCCAGGTAAGAACGTGAACATGTACATGTGCTCCTATGGAAAACGCGGACCACTCAAAGGGCCTTCAAACTCAATCCCTTTTGGGCCGAAACAACGCGCCATGTTCCCGAGCAATCCAGCCATCGGCGACAAAGCCTCTTCTTTTTTCTCTGTTGCGATCCGGCCGAACGATTGCCAAATGAGCTAGAAGGCATCTGCGCCAGTTTCAGCGACCGGAACAAGATATTAGGGCAGGGAACCACCCGCTGCTTCTCCCGTATCTGTGCTGATCGTGACTGACTTGGTGCACTAATGACTTGAACCCCTCAAAGAGCTGATTTGACCACTTGAGTTGACAAGCCCAGAGTAGACAGCCCGAGGAAACATCTCAACGATGTCCACAAATGATCCTTAAAGTTGGTGATTGTCCCTTGTCTTTCCCTTTAAAACCTCAGATCACCCGCTAAAAGTTTAACTTTTAGTGGAATTCGGAAATCCAACCACTAAACACCAAAATCCAACCACTAAACACTAAAAAGCTTAAACAAAGCCAAGGAACCGGATGGCTAGCCACCAAGAAACGGTGTTCCCCAAAAAAGGAACCATCTCATAAGCCGACGCCGCCCACTCGCGTCGCGATCCCCGCTGGGGCGCCGGCTGGACAAGGTGTCCTCCTCCAACGCCTGCGCGAGGCGAGCAAGAGAGCAAAGACGCATGCACGAGGATGCTTGGCTTGGGAAGAGCTCCTTTTGACACCTGGCTTCCATTTGCCTAAGCCACCTGGAAAAATATATATAATATGTATATATATATGTATATATATCCAGTAGTGATCGATTCCTTCTAAAACCAAGAGGGGAAAATACAAAATATGGAAGCTGGGTGGGTATTGGACAAACGAACAAGCGGGGATACGGAGGTGGATAGGGAGGGATTCCAACTTGGCGCCTTTTTTCATATCAAACTTAGTCAAGGTGCATTTCGGGGGAATCCTCCCGTATCCCTGGTTCCCCCTGTATCCCTGCTAGTTGGTTTCCCGGAGCACTGACCCCAAGGGCAAGCTTGTTATTTCAGGGGTAGGCCCCTTAAGGGTCTTGGGTCAGGGTGACATGGGGCACGGAACTAGACGACGGAACCATATTCCCAGGCAATGCAGAGTACAGGTGGCCGAGTCTTTGAAGCCCACTCCAAATCCATTTGGTCTGCTTGGGATCAATGGGAAGCCAATTCTGTTGAGACTGAAAGACTCCAGGAGTTCACTAGATATTTGTACATGTTCTTGAAAATAATCCTGCAGGTTGTCAAGGGCCCATAGCATGAGGCCTCCCTTACGAGGTGTTTGCTTTTGGGGTGTCCAAATGATAGCAATGGGAAGAGTTCAGCGCATAGCATAGAGTGGAACATGGGTTGTATCCGCCCTCCCCTGTCGACATTCTCGAACACCCAAAAAGGAGTCGCTCTTGCAGGAGATGCTTGTGGTTCCCTTGCTCAGCAAAAATGTCTCACTCAGAACGACGGCTCTCGGAATGCTCCAGGGCGATTGATTGTGTCAGATGTCTGCGTGCAAGACTCGGCGGCCCTTACATAGAAGCACAAACAAACTCGGTATCAACCACCTGGTACCTCAACAAAGAAGCTTGCTTTGGCGTGGCTAAACAACAAAGGGACGTTGTTTCTAGTCGGCCACAAATCAGGTCAAAGTCAAAGTCAAAGCTTTCCAAGTCATTAGCAGGCTCAAAGTCATGGTCAACATCTTGGTTCCTGTTGACCCCCCTGCCAAAACTTTAACTTTCTGGGGGTTTAGTGGAAAACACCTTTACTTCCCAGAAAGTTAAAGTCTAAAGACCCAACCCAATAGCAGTCAAGACATTTGGCCAGAAACTGGCGACCAAAACTCCCGACCGGTCCCCGCCTCCTTGGCCGGCGGCTCATGAGGATTCACCTCCGTCTTCTCCAAGCCATCAGCCTGCGCTGACAAACAACAAGCGCGATCACTCGCTCAGGTCCAGCCGGTGTCTCCTTCCATTCACCGGTTCAAACACGCAAAGGTTGACACGCCCTTATAGAGCATTCGTTGAAGTCACCAGCTTGTTGGGTGACCCGCTGGCCCCCCCACGGATTTGATAAATTTGATATACACGCTCCGCCTTGCCAATGTCTTCCATCAACGGAATTGGAGAAGTAATGAAGGTGTAAGCCGTAGCTCCACCAACCCCAGAATCCTGCTTGAACTGCAAACCCAGCGCTTGAGACCGGGTATTTGTTCAAATTTGAACCCGTGAAGCTACGGAACATGGAAACAAGAAACAAAGTCGGCTCTCTTCTGATCGAGTAGATTGGCCCAAAAAAGCTCCCAGACTTCTCATTTACCACTACAATGGCAAGCAAACCCAAAAAGTGACCTTCTAGTCCGAAACGGAACTCAGGGAGTGAGTCACAGATGCAGTACCCTCGAGACAGCTCAAAAGAGAAGGATGCTGAACCCTCCGAGTTGCCGCGTCCTGCGCTGCCAGGATGCCCAACAACAGAAGGCCGCAAGAGCCGCCCAACCTAAGCGAAAACTCACGTCCAATTGAATCTCTCGAGCCACATGCGATTGTCTTTGTGTGCTGCTCGTTCTTGCGCTTTACTGCTTTCTTGGTTCTTCCGTTCATTGCTTCCTGATGTAGTTTGTGTCTTCATGAGTTTTTTTTTTTGTGTTACTTGTTTGTCTGAGTTTTAAGTTTGCTTGGTTGCTTGCTTGAGTGTTCTTTTTGCATGCTGGCTGCCTGGCTGGTTTGCAGGCTCACTCAACTACCTGGCTTGCCCGCCTTGCCTGCCTGCCCTTGCCTGCTTGCCTGCCAGCTTACATGCTTCCTTTCTGTTCGCTTGTTTCCTTACATGCTTGCTTGCTTGTCTGCCAGCCTGCCATGCTTGGCGGCTCACTGGCTTTGCCGGCTGGCTTGCCAGGCGGCTTGCATGCCTGGTATGACTGTTGCTTGCTCTGTTTGGGGCCGTGCCAAAGATCCGCAACCTGAAACGAAGAGCCGAATGATGGGATCGCAACCTGGGGACTCTCTCCATTTGCCCATTGCCTTTGCTGGCGAAAGAGTTTGCGCTTTGCACCCACCCAGTCCCTTCCCTTCCGCACGAAATGAGACCGCTTTCCGGCAAGGGTCCTACCTTGTGTGCCCTACAAGAGGCCCAGTCTCACTTGCCCCCTTGGGGACCTGGAAGCAAAAGGCGATCATCTTTTTGGGACCTTTCTTTTAATTATTAACATCACCTTTTTGGACCTTTTTTAAAATGGACCAAACTGGGAAAACCAAAAGGTTCAAAGGTCGATTCGCTTTGCAAGTGAGAAGTCAAGAGCGGAACCCTCTGGGTTTGGTTATACCTGAAACTCCGGAGGCTGACGAGACTCTTTTCTCTCAGCTTCGCATGCCCGAATCAAATGCAGAAAAGTGTTGCCACAATTCCCTACTCCGAAAATGACAAGGGGAACCTACAACATGTATTTGTCCGCACAAATTTCGGCTACGTCCGAAGGCAGTACTAAGGCAGTACCATACAAAGCAATGCGAAGCCAGTACTAACGTAGCACAAAGCGAAGCTAATCCATGCTAATCCAATATAAACCAATAGCAAGCCAGTACTAACGCAACACAAAACAATGTTATACCAATACAAGCCAAAACTAAGCCAGTACTAAAGGAACACAAAGCAATACTCAAACAATACAAACCAATACACAGCCAGTACCAACCCAGCAAAAAGCAATATCACACCAATACTAAACCAATACTAAACCAATACTAAACTTGGGGGAGGCCAATCTGACCCCTAATGTGTTCTACAGCTTTTTACCCATTGGGCCCTTTGGCAGCCATATTTATTCAGTCACCCAAAAAAAGGAAACCTCTTTTGAGATCCCTTCAAGCCATCTGAGGCCAGGCGCATTTGGCAGCTCTCACGCCATGCGTCGGGCATCTGAAAGCCTTTGTCGTCCACGCCACAAAGGACCTGCGCCCCCCCAAAAAATGTCCCCAACAGGACTCCTTGAAGACACCCCAAACTAAAGGCGGGGTGATGCTAAGATGGGAAATATAGGGATCCTTCCCCAGCCCCTGTCGGTCAGTGATCAGGAGTTGTTCCATGAGGGGTACTGACACTAGGTCCTCCAGAGACGTTAGAATAAGGGTACCAACTTTTTCATCCCAACCCAAAAAGGGGAGGGAAGGGCACTACTACTGGGGGACCTAGCCAAAGCATTGGGGGACCCTTTTTGAAGCCAGAGTTAAAGGCCAAACGAGGCTTCAATGTTGTTGGGGCCTGTATGTTGCTCGTCTGCGATCCGGAAAGGGTCATCTGCTAACGCCATCCGTCCCCTAAAGCCCAGCCAGCTGAAAAGGTGCCTCCCCTTGGAGGGTACCTGCCATGGAAGACCAAAAGCCTCTTGACTTCCCGAATGCGGAGGCTAAGCCTTTGGTCTGGCAATGACTGGCCTAACTCACCCATAGGTGTCCTTCTTGGAAAAAAGATAGATTTCCCTGGTAGATGATTGAACCACCAGGCAACAACCAGGAATCGCCCTCTATTTTTAGGAAACAAAACAACATATTATTGAACCACCAGGTACACCAGGGCCCTCTATTTTTGCTCAACCCAACCGTCCGAAAAGGATACCTACTGTGCATAAACGAACTCCTGCACCACTTTGAAACCGTGGACAACTAATTGTTTGTTGAATTTTTACAGGGGAATCAAACCATTCCAAACCTTCTTGGGTGGTGCGAAACGAATGGATTTCGCCACCATCCACTGCCATCTTTCGACTCCCCCCCGGTGGATTCCCCGGGTGGATTCCCCAGCGACTGCGCCTCCTGTGTGATGCCTGCAGCCAGACCGGCCAGCAGGGAGATCCTCGTGTTCTGCCGAACCGCCTGGTAAGCCTGCGGATCCGAGGCGGTTGATTTCAGATGCGCATCAACCAGTCCAGAAAGGGCTCGGAAAGTGCTTCTCCCTGGATGAAAAGTGGGGCATCATCACTTGTTTTTTGGTTACTGGTTGGTGGAACAATATAACAATGGTCTGAATGTCTGCGAGCCATGCTCAGCCAGAGAATCCTTGAGGATCCGAATCCAAGGTTCCTAAGTTTGAAGGTGGTGTCCGCACCAAATGAAACGCAAACCAACCAAAAGCCGAAGTCGGTCTTGCCGATATCAAAGGGTTTCTCAACTTGCTGACTGGCGATATCCTGGGAATCCACCGTGCCAATCAACAACATGCTGAACACAAATTTGAGCAGACACGTTCTTTGTATTACCTGCCCGTTTCTTGGGAATATCTGGTGTATTTTATGATGTTTTTTTTTTTTTTAATCTTGACGCAAGACACTGTTACTTGGTTGACGTTGGAAGGGGAGCAACAAATTAAGTTTAAGCATTTAAGTCGGGATTTCCCACTAAAACACAATATGCAAAAATGTAAAATGTTCCCCAACAACAACCATGGATAGAAGTCTCTTTGTGAACATGCACAATGGTTGCAGCCGCTTTGTGCCTCCCGAGCCCGCAGCTCGGCTTGATCGGCGACGACTTGAGTGTTCGGTCTATTTTACGAGGGGAACCCTCCCCACCAAAAAAAGGGTTAAGAAGGGCACCTAGCTCGAGATCTAGTAACTTAGCAAGTGGTGAGCCACCTATTGCCCACACGTGTTGACACCACTAAGGAAGCGAGAATGACGTACTGACTGGGGGAAGGGATCTTAGACTCGGGGCCCCGCGACCCGGCCCCCTGGCGTTTTATACTTTGTTTGATCCCCGCGGTACATCGACACGGGTTCTTCTTCCAAGAAAAATCGAGCCAGGGTGTAGCATGTTCTGAAAGGGCACATGGCAACACCCACACAAAACAAAACAGCACTGCATGAGCTATAACTCACGATTCGACGTGGGTGACGCAACCCCCTTGCTGGGTTCGCAAAACCCAACTCAGAAGGTACAGTGGAAAGGCCCAGCCCGGTTTCTTTGGAGGTCCAAAGCAACCTGCACAACCCTTGGTATGGGCCTGGGCTTGCATAAAACGAGCCCCCTGCTAATCATGAACAGAACCAAAAATACCCAAAAAAAAACATAACCAATAAACTGAACAGAACCCAAAACACAAAAACGAACTAGATCCAAGAAACTGAACAGAACTCCCTCCCAAAAAAACAACAACACTAGATCCAAGCACTGTGAACAGTGCGGCCCACGCCCGGCTCCCATGCTTTCAGTGCTCTGCCGCTCCGCTCCGCCTGTTCGGCCGCTTCCGCCTCGCTTCTCCTCACCTTGAGGCCTGGCTTCCGATCCCGGAAGCCCCGCGTCCGGGTGATGGGAGCCCGCTTTCTCCGTGGCCACAGAGCAGCCATATGTACGTATGTACACATATTAAGACAGGTGCTAAACAAGTGCAATCATATATATATATATATACAGAAATCTGTGAGTGCGGGTATACATGGTTTATGTTTGTATACTGTATATATATATATATACTATGTATATATTTATATAAGGATTTGGATTGATAACCTAAAACACCGAACCCGTCTTCCCAACAAGTCGCTTGTTTCCAAAAGGGCTGGGCCCTATTCAGTCCCCAACGGGACTGAGATAAGAAAATCTCCAAGGTCTGGTTGCGTATCGTCCAAGGCGAGTGAGATTCGGTCGAGTGGTGATATGTACCACCACCTTTGGGTCTCGTTCAACGCCTTTGACTCCGCGATGGCGAATTTTCTTGAAACGCATCCCGAAATACCTTAAGCACCAGGCGCCAGCTCGCTCTCTTTCTCTCTCCCTCCCTCCCTCGCTCCCTCGCTCCCTCGCTCACTCCAAAAAATCCAGAATGGATATTCTAGCCTTTGGGGGGTCTCCCGCTCTCTCTCCCACTCTATGTCTCTCCCTCTCTCTCTATCAAGCACATCTGCCTAGGGCCGCAAAGCCCAGAGCTAGCAGGAGGAAGGTGTAGGTCAATGCCCTGGCGAGAGAAACTTTGGGATTGATTCACCAATTGGGAAGACGTAATCCCCGAGTGGTCCTTCCCCAACAAACGGCAAGCTCGATCCAATTGAACCAGAAAAAA